GTGTGTGTGTGTGTCTTTGTGTGTGCATTCATCTCATCTAACAGACCACTTCCTGTCGGATCTCCACAGGTTTACTTTAAAGGAGTTCATCCCAAATTCCCAGAGGGAGGGAAGATGAGTCAGTATTTGGAGAGCCTCAGGATCAGTGACACCATTGACTTCCGAGGACCCAGTGGTCTCCTGGTCTACAAGGGCAAAGGTGAGGACCAGGACACATCGGTGCAAATGTCACAGTCGTTGTTGAAAGTGTTAGTCTTACAGCCAACAGCTGACTGACAGAGAGATCTTTAAAAAAAATTATAAATAAATATATATATGTATATAATATGTTTTCAATTGTATTAATTGTAATCATATATATGAAAGTTTTAATATTTATATATCTGACTGAGGATGGTGTGCGGTCTTCTTTACTGTGACCACTCATCAACGGTCTCTTCCTCCGTCCACAGGACAGTTTGACATCCAGGCTGATAAAAAGTCTCCAGCTGTGACCACAACAGCCAAACACGTGGGAATGATCGCTGGAGGAACAGGCAAGTGAAGAGGAGATGCTGTGGGAAAAACCCCAGCCTCTAATCTCTGATTAAAAAAGTTATGTTTTTATTGGTCTGTGGATTTTCCTGTGTGGCTGATGGTTGTGTTCATCACTTGTAGGAATCACACCGATGCTGCAGATCATCACGGCCATGATGAAGGATCCACAGGACCAGACCGTTTGTCACCTGCTGTTTGCCAACCAGGTGACTGTGATCACACTGATCTATATTCACAAGACAGTGTCTGCTGTCACAGAAGACCAGACTCCGAGGACACACCTGGACCCAGGGGTCCAACTCGAGTTTGGCACCTTTGATCTCTGTCGCCGTCTAGTGGCATTAATTAAAATTGCAATCTATTTATTGCATTAGGTGAAACAGAAGGAATTACATCAGTGTTTGCCCTGCGTTGTACCAGTGTTTATATGTACCAGGCTGTATGTGCTCTGTGGGACCAGATGTGGGCCATAGTTCACCTACACCTGGTCTAAGTTGTGGACCACACAGGATTGAATTTGAGCACACTGCAACATTTACCTTTAAAAAAAGTCACTCAAAACTACAACACACTACAACGTGCATTATGGGATACACACACACTTGACACACACTGCAGTCTGGGTCTACAGCAGTCTGGGTCTACAGCAGTCTAGGTCTCCAGCAGTCTAGGTCTACAGCAGTCTAGGTCTACCGCAGTCTAGGTCTACAGCAGTCTAGGTCTACCGCAGTCTAGGTCTACAGCAGTCTGGGTCTACAACAGTCTAGGTCTACAACAGTCTGGGTCTACAACAGTCTGGGTCTACAGCAGTCTGGGTCTACGGCAGTCTGGGTCTACAGCAGTCTGGGTCTACGGCAGTCTGGGTCTACAGCAGTCTGGGTCTACGGCAGTCTGGGTCTACAGCAGTCTAGGTCTCCAGCAGTCTAGGTATACAGCAGTCTGGGTCTACAGCAGAGAACCTTAAATACAGGCTCCGTCACAGGAAGGAGGGAAGAATTACATCAGACTTTATATGAAGACTGTTATGATGGAGGATGAACCCTACTTTAACCATGTGTCTGTCTGTGTGTGTGTGTGTGTCTCAGACTGACAAACTGATCCTGCTGAGACCAGAGTTGGAAGAGATCCAGGTCAACAACCCAGATCGCTTCAATTTGTGGTTGACCCTGGACAGAGCCCCCGACGGTAACGTCTCACATCAACTCCTTCTTACTGCTGTTCAGTACAACCTGAGGTCAACGACGGTATTTTTTTAAACACCTCCTGCTGGTTAGATAGCTGTACTTCCAGCCTTTGTACTTGCACCTTTTTACCAGCAGATGTCACTAGAGCAGCCTGGTAACTGAATTGAACTGTGTCTGTGTCACACTTAGAGGGTCTCTGTCCAACCCAGATCTAAACCCAGATGAGGATTAGATTACAGATAATCCCCGGTGGCCATTTAACCAGTTCCATAGTAAAGTTATTGTTGGACCAAAGTCCTGCTCCCTGGTCCATTTGGACTGTTGGTGTCAGACCACTGTGAAGAACCTCCCTGATTTACTCCATTTGACTCCTGAAATACACACACAGAACAGAAACACAGTGTTGAATGGTTGGTTGTGTGCAGAGGAGGAAAAAAGTACTAAAAAGTGTAAAAGTAAAAAAAAAAAAATTAAATTTTTTTTATTAAAACATTTAAATTAAAAATTAAATTTGTGTAAAAGTTTAATTTAGTTAAAAAAAGTTTTTATTTTAAATTAAATATTTTGAATGTAACGTAACTGGGTAAGTTACTCAGTTACGTTAAATTACTTGATGATTGTGTGAATGCAGTGGACTGGAAAGCTGGTCCACCTGTCAGCTGAGTGAATGGGTGAGTCTCTGTGTTCCAGACTGGGAGTACAGCCAGGGCTTCATCAGTGAAGACATGGTGAGGAACCATCTGCCTCCCCCCAGCGACGACACTCTCATCCTCATGTGTGGACCACCGCCCATGATCCAGTTCGCCTGTAACCCCAACCTGGACAAAGTGGGCCACGCCGAAAGCCGCAGGTTCACCTTCTAGACACGTGTCCAAGTCCTAGAGTCGAGGTTTGACCACTGAAGGCAATTTATCAATAACCTGCACTTCATAAATATAAAAGGACAAAAAAAAACCAAAAAAAAAAAACCAAAAAAAAAAAAACGCAAAGCACTTGAATAGTCGCAGTGGATGTTGCACTACATGAAAAAATATTTATGCCATGAAAAGTAATCATGCAGCAGAACCATAGTCTGGACCAAGAAAAGGTTGTAGAGCGTAAGTGTATAGAAAGAATACCTGTGGTCAGTCGGGGTCAAAGGTGAATATGTGGAGGAGTTTTACTAGATGGGAAATGAAAATGCAATTCCTGACGTACTAGGAACCAAAAAAAAAAAACCAAAAAAAAAAAAACGCTAAGCCCTTGAATAGTTGCAGTGGATGTTGCACTACATGAAAAAATATTTATGCCATGAACAGTAATCATGCAGCAGAACCATAGTCTGGACCAAGAAAAGGTTGTAGAGCGTAAGTGTATAGAAAGAATACCTGTGGTCAGTCGGGGTCAAAGGTGAATATGTGGAGGAGTTTTACTAGATGGGAAATGAAAATGCAATTCCTGACGTACTAGGAACCAAAAAAAAAAAAAAAAAAGGCCAGGCACTTGAAAAGTTGCAGTGGATGTTGCACTACATGAAAAAATATTTATGCCATGAAAAGTAATCATGCAGCAGAACCATAGTCTGGACCAAGAAAAGGTTGTAGAGCGTAAGTGTATAGAAAGAATACCTGTGGTCAGTCGGGGTCAAAGGTGAATATGTGGAGTAGTTTTACTAGATGGGAAATGAAAATGCAATTCCTGACGTACTAGGAACCAAAAAAAAAAAAAAAACGCTAAGCACTTGAATAGTTGCAGTGGATGTTGCACTACATGAAAAAATATTTATGCCATGAACAGTAATCATGCAGCAGAACCATAGTCTGGACCAAGAAAAGGTTGTAGAGCGTAAGTGTATAGAAAGAATACCTGTGGTCAGTCGGGGTCAAAGGTGAATATGTGGAGTAGTTTTACTAGATGGGAAATGAAAATGCAATTCCTGACGTACTAGGAACCAAAAAAAAAAAACCAAACAATCGAACCACTGTCCTGCTGTGGCCTCGGTGTCAGCAGCGTTGAGGTTTTACCGGCTTTTTCCCCTCGTGCCTTAAACGCATCTTTTTTTTTACGCACCTAAACGTAATCGTGCTGCTGTACGGCTCTGGTAAAGAAACAGAATATTTAATCATGGCTGATTCATTATCCGTTAGATCAGATGTGTTTGAGTTTTGATTCAGTGTTAAAGTTACTCCGTCGGTGACTGTTTGTGTTTGGATATGCAATATTAAAAAGTCACTTCCTGTCCAAAAGTTAACAGTTTTTGCGTGTTTTTCACTTTCTAAAAGTTGACGTCCCAGCTGTTTAAATTAGTTAGCAGGAATAACCTAACTTTTACCTCCAGACCAGCTTCAGAGGAGACCTACAACTGTCGGGTAACGAACCTTCAAATATTACTTTTTGCTGCAGCAGAATACTGAGTTTGTTTTATTTGAAGGTTGATGTTGACATACTTTAACGACTGTCACCTTGAAGGTCCACAGAGCAGCAGTGGAAGTCTTTCTGCAGCCAACACAGCGACCCCTGTATGGAAACACTGATCATCACACTCTTGATGAATCCATTTAAAGAACAGTTTTCATTCTTTCACATCTACTGCTCATTTATTTCAGATTGGTGTAAAAAGAGAGCAGCCATTCAACTAGTGATGCAGGGTTCCACCGTGGGAAGTTCTCCAGCCCATCACAGGTAAGAGTAAAGTTTGATTTCTTTTTTACAAAAAACGTATATATATATACAAAAATACCAAAAAAAAAAGCTTCATGCTGTAAGTTTAGGGCATATTTTGGGGTAATCTCTATATAATTTTCTCAAAAAATTCCAGAATACCTAAATCTTAAGAATGTCAAAATTGTATCCAAAAATACATACATTATTTTTTTAAGTTAAAAAAAGTTTTAAAAAAGCCTCTTATTGTTAATGTGATAATTTTTTTGTGATATTTTTCAGAATATGACCAAAATTGCATTTTCTTCTAATTATTTAAAAAAGACCAACACTTTTATAAAATAGTCAAAAATTTTAAAAAATCCAAATTATGAAAAGTTCATGCCCCTGAAATGTGCCTCCAGTTCAATAGTGTTTGCTTAACAAATGTCAAAATGTTACCAGAGTGAGATTCTATGACCTATACCAAATAATTAAAAATAATTTCCCTAAAAGCCTCCAAATTCAACTAAATGCGTCTACATTTATCCTCAGGTCAGTCATTTTTTACGCCTACTTTACCAGAGACAACATACTATATTTTTTATGCCTACTTTACCAGAGACAACATACTATAAATTATGACTTTAAACATTGGGAACGTTAAGTGTCTATTAATCCATTCTTCAACAACTGCTGTATTTAAGGTTGATTTTACAACAGAGCGGTGCTGTAGTCTGTCTTTCATTTATATAGTTTTATTAAAAAATTGTCAGTACAGGAGCAGAGAGAACTCTACGTACCACAGGTAAAAATGAAGTAGACAATAAATGTGCTAAGAAAAAAGTGTCAACATTTGACAATACTGATAACTAATAAATGTAGGGGGAAATACATGACTGACTATCGGCTTTAATAAATATAGAACAGGGTTACAGCTTTAACTCTGGATGATTAAATAATGCTGTAAAGTGTACGATGACTTTGTTCTTCACATGTTCTGATTCTCTCCTCTGTTGTTTATTTTGTGGTCCACCGACATCTCATTGAAAAACCCGTCGTCCTTCAGCAGGCTCTGGGAGAGGAGCAGAAGCTCAGGTCAGTTCTGATGTTTTTCTATGTTCTAAAACAACTGCATGGTGTCACTCTGACCATGTGACTCACCGTCAGGTTGTTGATTCCTTCAGAAAATTCTCCAATTTGTCGCACCGTGCCCTCAGAAACCTCCCTCTGTGGAAGGAAATGTAAAATCAAGAAGGGCTTTTGAAAATGAGGGTTTGTTTAAACTGAGGGGTCAGAGGTGAGCAGCTGGACGGGCTTAGGTTTGGTTTAGTTTTTCATGCGTCCGTCCTGATCTGTTTACTTCTGCAGGTCACATTAGTTCACACGTCCTAATGAACCTGTACCTTCTCCAGGTTCTCCTCCTGGACTCTGACTCCTCTCTGGAAGCTGCTGCTTTTGGGCATTTCCACGTTCATGGGACAGACGTAATCCTCGCCCTCTTCCTGACGTTTCCTTCTCAGAGTTCCAAACCCACCGAAGGACAGGCGTCGAGGCTGAGGCAGAAGAAAGAAAAGGAACGGATCACTGAGTTACCTGAGCTCTCAGCTGAACTCCTCCACGTCGCTCACCTTGACTTTGGCGGTGGCAGTGAGGACGGTGTAGTCGGGGTTCTCCAGACACTCCTGCTTCAGACGCTGCGCCTCGGAGCCAATGAGCAGATGGAAGTGCGTGGCCAGGTGGCGTCGCAGCAGCGTTTTGCTGGGAGGAATATTGAGCAACAGAGCCAGAGCTTCAATGTTGAAGCGTGGCTCCAGCACCTGAGAGGTCAAAGGTGGGAGAAAAAAAAAGAACTTTGTGACTTCTACACTCATGTTTTTTGTGAATCGTCTTTGATTCTGTTCTGTTGATTTCCACTGCTTTAACACAAACACAGGACGTCATCTGGACCCTGGTCACTCACCATCAGACCTCCGTGGACACCACTGCCCCTCAGGTTTGGGGCGTACTCAGCCAGATCCACTGATCGTAACCACTCCATCACTCTGTGGTTGGTCCACTGACAAATCTCTGCTGGAGTGACATTGTTCTGGAAGAAGGGTGAGAAGATCAACTTTTCTCTCTCTTTCTCTCCCACACTCTCTCATCTATCACTCTGTCACACTTTGTGTGCGAGGCAGAGTTCTCTCTCTCACACACCCTCTCTCTCTCACACTCTCTGTCTCTCCCTCACTCCCTCCCTCACACGCTCTCTCTCTACCACACCCTCGCTCTCTCCCTCACTCTCACTCCCTCTGTCTCTCCCTCACTCCCTCTCTGTCTCTCTCTCTCTCTCCCTCACTCCCTCCCTCACACGCTCTCTCTCTGTCACACCCTCGCTCTCTCCCTCACTCTCACTCCCTCTGTCTCTCCCTCACTCCCTCCCTCACACGCTCTCTGTCTCTCTCTCACTCTCACTCCCTCTGTCTCTCCCTCACACTCTCTCTCTCTCCCTTACTCCCTCACATGCTCTCTGTCTCTCTCACTCCCTCTGTCTCTCTCTCTCCCTCACACGCTCTCTCTCTATCACACCCTCGCTCTCTCCCTCACTCTCTCACATTCTCTGTCTCTATCACTCTGTCTCTCTCTCTCTCTCTCACACCCTCTGTCTCTCCCTCACACACTCTCTCCCTCACACTTTCTGTCTCACTCTCACTCCCTCTGTCTCTCTCTCTCCCTCACACGCTCTCTATCACACCCTCACTCTCTCCCTCACGCTCTCTCTCTCTCACATTCTCTGTCTCTATCACTCTGTCTCTCTCTCCCTCTGTCTCTCCCTCACACGCTCTCTCTCTATCACTCTCTCCCTCACTCTCTCTCACTCACATTCTCTGTCTCTAGCACTCTGTCTCTCTCTCCCTCTGTCTCTCTCTCTCTCACACCCTCTGTCTCTCCCTCACACGCTCTCTCTCTCTCTATCACTCACTCCCTCTGTCTCTCCCTCACTCCCTCTGTCTCTCCCTCACTCCCTCTCTCCCTCACACTCTCTCTCCCTCTCACTCCCTCTGTCTCTCCCTCACACTTTCTGTCTCACTCTCGTCGCTCTCCCTCACACGCTCTCTCTCTATCGCTCTCTCCCTCACACTCTCTCTCTCTCCCTCACTCCCTCTGTCTCTCCCTCACTCTCTCTGTCTCTATCACTCTCTCTCACTCCCTCTGTGTCTCCCCCACACCCTCTCTCTCTCCCTCACTCCCTCACACTCTGTCTCTCCCTCACTCCCTCTCTCTCCCTCACTCTCTCTCTCTATCACTCTCTCCCTCTGTCTCTCCCTCTCCCTCTGTCTCTCTCACACTCTCTCTCTCCCTCACACCCTCTCTCTCTATCACTCTCTCCCTCTGTCTCTCCCTCACTCCCTCCCTCACACGCTCTCTCTCTATCACTCACTCCCTCACTCTCCCTCTGTCTCTCCCTCACTCACTCCCTCTCTCTCTCTCTCTTACCTCGTCAGACGGCCGTCTCCTCAGACAGTTGTCTTCAAAGTTGTTCAGGCGCAGCACCTGGATGGCTCTCTTGATGCTGAGGTGGTGGAGGACACTCCCCACCTTCAGAGACAGGAGGTCGTCCTGGAGACCAACATCACTCCTGTCAGCAGGTGAACAGGTCCACTGAGTGGAGGGTGAAGGTCAAATGAAGGTCACTCACCACGGTCATGTGATGCAGCACTCGTCCGTCCACACACGACTCCTCAAAGTGACTCTTGTACTGAGGGAGGCCGATGTCGTCCAACCACCCTGAGGAGAGCAGTCACAGAGTCAGGTGTTGGTCCAGTGTTCAGTGATGTCATAACAGGACACTCACTTGTCACCCAGTTGTGGTCCAGTCTGCCCTGGTGGTCCTGCTCTGAGCCCACTGCCCGTAGAGCCAGCTGCAGCTTCTTCCTGTGGAGAGGCAGCTTCATGCCCAGTTCCTGTGGACCAGAGAGTCAACACACGTCAAGGGATCGGAACATAAAATATAACATTTGAGAAGACCACTTGATGGCGCTCATACCTTCTCCAGGTCATGTTGCGATGCCTGCAGTAGTGTTTGTCCAGACTTGATCCAGTTCTGACCCTGGATGGCATAGAACCCCAGACCCTGTTCCTGCAGCCAGCCACTCACCTCCTCTCTACTCCACCGTGAGAAAGGAACATCTGCAGCGCTGAGCAAAGACAAATGAAAAATAAAATAAATCATCTTTGTTTTAAATAAACCAGATATTTCCACAAAGCTTTGTTTGTGTTGTAATTCTAATGTTCTTACTTGCTTTTAACAACCTTTAACAAAATAGGGAGAGTTAGCCAACTTTAGCTATTTGTGTGCCATCTTTTAGATAGCAACAAAAAACAACCTCATTTTCTAGATTTGTAGCTAATTCTGGAATAACTGTCAGCTTCTGAAATTCTGGATAAAACTGAAGCCATTATAGCTAACATTTTCTATTTCATACACCAGACAACTGTAAAAAAAATTACCCAGAATGCCACTGTTACATCTGCACTTAGTGACCAGAAATGTTAAGCACTTACCTGAGTTTGGGTTCACGTGACCACCCCAGTCGAGGCCCAGCTGTGGCTCTGACTCCGCCCCTCCTGAACTCCATCTCAGAATCATCTAGGTTGAAGGAGGTGGAGTGACTCCTCTTCAACCTGCAGGAGTTCCAGTGTCACAGGGTCAGAGACCAAAGCATGATCCGTCCACTGGTTCTGATGCTCAAAGATCACGTCTCACCTGCCGAAGAATCTCTTCAAACCTCTGGACTTTTTTTTGGTTTCTGCTGCAGACGGTGGAGCAGCATCAGCAACACTTGGTTTTGGAGGAGCAGCGACGACGGCCAGGTCCAGGTGATCAGGGGTTTTATGCTGAGGCGCAGCTGTGGACAGATCACAGCTGAAGATTATTATGGGTTATGGCAGCAACAGAGCAGGCGATGGCGCTAATGTTACTGTGTGTGTCATCAGCTCATATCAGGAAAAAAAACAAAAAAACATTTGAAGTATTTGAAGAACGTGACGAGATGATCTGTTGAAGTCTTACCCAGACGTGATGAGATGATCTGTTGAAGTCTTACCCAGACTTGGAGAACTGCTCGTCTTCTTCCCTCCTCCACGCAGCCTCAAAAGTCCTCGGCCAAAGGAGCTGCGGACTTTCTTAGAACCAAAGCTCTCCTCACTGGTACTGTTGTTTCCTTTGTGAGGGAATGGAGAACCAGCTGCTCTGTTGTTGGTCTGTCAGGAGAAAATAAACAAAATTAAATAAAAACAAAATAAACACATAAAATGTTTATATTTGACCGCTAGAGGTCAGAATGGGACCATGCACAAGACAAATCATGTCTGTTCAATAAGATTTTTTTTTACCTGCTCCACTGTGCTGGTCAGGGTCAAACTGAGGAAAAAAAAGAATTAATAATTCTGTTAATTTTCAAATCCATGTTATTACAAGATTTTTTTTACCTGCTCAACTGTGCTGGTCAGGGTCAAACTGAGAAAAAAAAAAAAAAATCTGTTAATTTTCAAATCCATGTTATTAATGTTGACTCATTGACATGTATTGTACATAATGTCCAACAAATGAAGTAGAATCAGTTACTGTATGTTGTGTACTTCCACAATTATTGATATTTGAACATAATAAATACAGTTGTGTTTTATTCAAAATTGTTTGAATAGCTACTATAATATTAGTTCATATTAAACTGTTAAAGACAGACCTTGGTATCATGCTACATAACTGATCATGTGACTTGTCCACCAATGGTATCAGTTCTATCTGTGTCTCTGATCATTAAAGTTCTGGTTGTGTGTGGTGAGAAGCAGCTGATGGTAACAGTACCAGCTACAGTACAACGTTTTGATGGAAAACAGAGTCATGTGATTGTTGTACCTTTCTGCCTGTAACTGTCGTTCTCTGTCCAGCTCAGTCATTTCAGAGAGAACAGCGATACAGGGCGCAGACTGACAAGAGAAGAAGAAAATGATTTAAGTTTTTATTCCTTCAAAAACAAAAAAAAAAACAACCTGAGCTCAGATTTCCACCATGTTTAAACTATGTCAGAGTGGGAGGTGGATGTTTTTGAGAAGGAAGTCCAGAGTCTGGGCTTCATCCTGTGTTTGCAGATTGTTGGGACAGCTTGTATTTACCTCCCCAAAGCTCCTTCCTGCTCCCCCCTCTGACATCAGCGTCATCCCCTCCACCTCCGTGGCTCCGGGAAGAGAGGGCTCGTCTATGACGTCATAGTCGTCTTCCTTAGACGTCTCTGTATGGACACGAGGAGAGTTGGCAAGAAAAACTTACTGAACGTGGCCTGTTACAGAGGAAAGAAAACTAACTAACTCACTAACTAACTAACTCAGCAGAAAACCACTGTCTTTGTATTTTTACTGTTACCAGAACAGCATTCTGGAGTAACATCTAACATAATAAAGGGCGTAGTATCACCAGGTACTTTGCGATGATATACTAACACGATAGTTTTCCAACATGTCCGCAAGGTTTTCAACTAATATATAACCGTCATAAAACCACAGTACAACTAGGCTCCCAGCACAGAAAGCTAAGCCTGGTTTGTTTAGTTTTTCTGCACGCACTGGATCGCTCTCTTTAAGTGTTCTCTGGCGACATCGTGTGGAGGCTTGAAAACTTGCAGCAGATTTTGGGGGCGAATCTGTTGTCATTGTATGTTTATTGTTTAAATATCAAAATTCCCCGCTGGTATATCGATAAAGTCGACAACAACAAATATCGCAATATATCGTAGTATTGATAATTTAAAACCCCTAATTGTAACAAGCAGTTGACTAAAATGTAAAGAACTGTGAAGTTGTTAAATGTAAGTGGGAAAATGATGTAGTGACAACAGTGAGCAGACAGTACTACAATCAGTTACAATAACATCTTATAGTTAACTCACCAGGTGAATGACCTTTGACCCCCTCCTGGTCTCTGCTGCACTTGGTTAACGACTCCTCCAGCTCTTTAATCCGTCTTTCCTGTCATTGAAACATTAGTTTTGTTATAACTGAAGTCTGCTTTAAGGTTGATTTATTTATCACGATTAACAAATGAATTATTCAGTATAATTATACATTTTATTTAATTTGTATTCTGTAACATTTCCTTCAAATCAAACATTAAATGTGACTGGTCACATGACCCTGTACCTTGTCATCATTGGCCGACGTCAGCGACTCCAGCACTCTCTTCATCTTCATCATTTCTGCATCTGGGACAAAAAAAAGGAAAGGATTGAAACATTTTTATTACCAGTGTTTTTTGGCTGAACCTCCTCCAGACTCAACACATGATGAAGACATTATTCAGAAAAAAGAATCTGCTCTGTCTCCAAAGGCTGTTCATGTCACTAATCTAAACATGAATCAGATTCAATCTGTGTAGTGTTCAAAGGGTGGTTCCTGGGCTTCTTGGGCAACACTGCAACTTAAACTTAAACATATTTTAAACAAGAATGTTTTGTTTTAGTTTGTATGTTTTTTATATTTATAAACAAGAATGTTTTAGTTTGTATGTTTTTTATATTTTTTTTTCTGTCAAAGAAGGGATATTAAATGTTTTTACCAAACTGACAAATTGTTTTAAGAGTTTTTAACAAATTGGTTCAATATATGAAAAAGCAAAAACTCCCAGCAGCTCCTTTAACTGTGTGTGTATTGATGATGTTCTCCCATCTTTGGACGTCAGGTTTGTGTTGCTGCTGATACTGTTCAACACTGAAGTAAAGAAACCTATGAATAAATAGAATTCCTGCTCCATCAGAGTGAAGGAGAAGGAGGAGGAGAAGAAGGAGGAGGAGGAGGAGGAGGAAGAGGAGGAGGAGGAGGAGGGAGCTGAACCAACTGTGTGATCAGTCAAACAACAACATCTGGAGACCTGGAGTTCACGTCAGTGTCTAATCTGACTGAACCTGAGCTGAGCCTCATGACACGCTGGAAGATGAAGAACAGCAGCTCCCACCTCTGTCTGCTCCCTCAGCTCTGCTCTGACACTCTCTCTTCTCTCCTCCTTCCTCCCTCAGGATCCTCAGCTCCAGCTCCCGTTCTTCCAGATGCCTCTGCAGGAGCAGCAGCTCCTCCTGTGATGGAGAAGGACATTTGAAATCATTACACTCTTTTGTTTTTGTATTGTTGTATACTTTTTTTAAAAATCAGAAATTTTTTTTTCTAGCACTTTTTGAAGTTTTGAAGATGTAAAAGAAAACATTCAAATTGAAGTCATTTTTGGGGATTTTTCATTTGAAAAGTACCAACTAAATATCCAACATTATGTAGATTTAATTATAGAGCAAAGAAAAACAACTGTTTACTGAGGAGCAGAGAGAACGTCATGGCTAAGATCAGGAGGCCGACCTTTTGACCAAGTGATAAAAGCTGCTCTGTGGGAGGGGGTTAGGGGTCAGTGTGAGGTCACAGTCATGTGCTGCACATTTGGTAATGAAGACCATTCCGTTACACAGAGCCCCTGATATTTACAGTGATAAAGAGTTATGTGTGGACATGTTCATATACACCTACGAGGAGGACAAAGAGAGTGCAGCAGGTTAAAAGGTTAAAACAGCACAGAGACAGATAAAGACAGACAGAGTTTGGACCTGGACCAGAGGTACAGGTGGAAGCACTTACAGACAGTACGGTGAAAATCAAGAGTCTGTGCAGCAGGAGGAGGTGCAGGTTTAGAGGATCTTAAGGTCCAGAGATCTTAAGGTAAGAAAGAGCAGAGCCTCTGCTGACATGACAGGTCAGAAGGTCACTCAGAGGTATTAGGAATAAAGAGGAGGGGGAGAGAAGGACGAGAGAACGTGAACTCAGAGTGAGGAACGAGTGTGAACAACTGCTGTCAATCAGACTCACACACACACACACACACTCACGTTGGTTGATTTGAGCTGCTTCTCAAACTGCAGCCTCTCATTCTCCGAGTCGGTCACCCTGAACCTCAGCTCCGTTACTTCTGTGTAAAAGCCCTGAGGAGGAACAGGAGGAGGTCCATTAGTCTGAGGAGTTGGGAGAGAGACCTGCAGCAGGGATGTTTGGGGGCGTTGAATATGTATTTGTGTAGGAGTAGAATTCCAGATGGATTAACCCCTGGAGGAGCTGGTGGAGACAGAAACACCACGGTCATCTACTGCTGTAGTGACGTGACTCCGCCCAGCAGCAGAGGAGGTGGAGGTGACAGTAATGGAAGGTGAATTCACATTCATGGCCTTCAACAGTTTGGTCTCTGCTCATTTGTGTAACTTCTCATCAGCAGGTCGTCACTGCTGTTGGTTTGAGGCTGTTTGAAGCAGCACAGACTTTACTTTGAACAACATTCAGGTCATATCACATGAACCATCACGATGGTGAATAAGGAGTAGTCTAAGCAGATGACGTGAAGAATTACTATTAATTATCTTTAATGTCAGCCCCTGCTGGCCAACGTCTCTCTCCTACTGTAAATGAGTTCACGGCACAGACGTATCAATCAACAGCTCTTATAAACACAGGCACACAGTCTGAGCTGCTAGAATATTTAAAACTCTAATCAAATACAGCAGCTACAATGTGTCTGTCAGCACTTTCTAAGATTTAGCCGACTTTTAAAAGAACTTTTACTGTACTGGAAACAAACGTGTCTGACGATCCCACCCAATGTTTTTCCAAATATTCCATATCCTGCAAGTAGACAAAGGATGGAATGGAATTTTTGTTTTTTTTATTTGCTCCATCAGATGAGCAGTAGGGAGACGCAGGAGGAGGGGGGGGACTCTGCCAGGAAACAGCTGCAGGAGCTGACGCTGGGTTTGAGCCTCGTCTGTGAGCCCTCACACCAGTTCACACTGAGCCCGAGGTCAAGATCAGAGCGAGACGACGGCTCTGTGACTGGAACAATGACTGGGTGTCTGCCAGGGCTGCAGGCAGACACACAAAACCACAGTAGGGCAGGTGGGACACAGGGGGGCCACCATCTCTGCCGCGGGTCGCACACTTCACATGGACGCTCCGTACCTCAGTGTCTCTGTGATCTCTCTCCACGGCCGTCAGTTTCAACTTAAGACTGGACACCTCCGTCATCAGCTCCAGCTTCTGGGTCTCCAGCTCTGATCGGTTCAAGAGTTCCTGTGAGGTCAGATGAGACGAGTGAAGAATGGAATTCAGATTCCGACGGCAGCATTTAGGGTACGTGACTGTGTGAAGGTCTCACCTGCTGGAGAAGCTCTTCTGTGGCAGCCAGTTTCTCTCTGTGAAGGTCGAGGCACGAGTCCAGGTCTCGAATCTTTTCACCCTGCACCTCCACCTGGTCCGTCAGAACACTGACCTGAGCAGTGATTAAACATCCGTATCAATAAGTTAGTAACGCTCTACTTTGACACTGTAAAGCAAAGACAGGAGCCGCCGTTGAATTCACCAACATGTGTAGGTATATGTGGACTAATTAAACAAAACACGTCACTGCTGTTAGGCCATGACATCATAACTCTGCATAAACCATAAAAAAACTCAGTGCATTCTCTTTCTTTTGACACAGATCACACATCGACGATGAAAACACTAGGCATAGCCGACAGCGTCATTACCAATCTGAAGCCAACTTCAGCAAAGACAGGATTGTAATGCAGAATTAAAACTAAAGGTCGCAATAACCTCAGATTTATTATGAACTGAGCACCGTCACTCACAGTAACAGGTAGAGTTATTATAGCAGCTCCTACATCCAACAGTACCAGGACAAAACTTCCATTTGGAATAATATTTCTTTTCTATGTCTGTTCCTTTAATTGATTCACTGTAAACCCATTAACTTATGGCAGGTTTAACATTGTGCTCTCTTTGATCCAGACCATCAGGGAACCACTGACACAGAGAGAGGAAGAAACAACAGCACCTGATTTGATCATTTGGTTTTGACAGTCTTTCAGTCTGAAGGAGTTTGACTTCAGTACCTGAAGAATGAGACACTCTTTGTCGCTCTCCAGTCGTGACAGACGCTCCTGGTAAACTGACTCAAGGCTGTGACCGTTGCTCTGAAATCAGAAACAGTGCAGTACAGATTAGAGCTGTTGAGGTCAAAGGGGCTTTTATTTAGTGTGAGTTTGAAAGAAAAAAAAAAAACAGGGCAATGACGTCCTGGAACCAGTGTTCCACACGCCTCAAAACCACTGACAATGAACTTAAAGAAAAGATGCTCTGTTCTGGATTTCCAGAGGAAACATGTGAGGGTCAGAGCTGCGCTCACATGCAACTAATTTGAGAAACCCAATCAAAAACACACTCCACGTCTGTACATAAAGTGATGGTTTTATGAGGGAAGAAAATCAGAGAGCTTCACTCCAAGTCAAAGTTGGCAGGGAAAAGGTCAACTATTTTAAGCAGCCGCCATCATTTACAACATACTTATCAAACTCAGGCCCGGGGGCCAAATCTGGCCCACTGTGTAATTATATTTGGCCCATGAGATCATATCAAATGTGTACTAGAGCTGGACCACCAGTATTTAACCCCTACATAATGGCAGGATTTGTAGTATTAGCAGTGCTATGTTATAGCGCACACACTATTTTTTTTGTTTGGGAAAAAAAAAAGATTTACTTTTAAAAGGAACTGGAAAGGCTACAGATGAGACATAATCTGAAACAAATACTGATGTGTGTTTTATTTAAACTTTAAGCTTGGGTTGTTCTAGATGTTTACTGAAAACATCTTTGTTTGCATATGAAAACAATTCTACATTACAGATCTGGAGAGAAGGGAAAACATTTTTTTAAATAAATATTAAGTTTGGCCCCCGATTTTGTCCCAGTTTTTAATTTTGGCCCACAGTGAATTTGAGTTTGACAGCCCTGATTTACAGGATACGTCAAAACAACACGTCTACGACACAAACAGTTTACAGAACTGTTGAAGCTGCAGAGAGATGTAAAAGCTGAGTGTAGAATCATTTCTCCCAGATGATCTTTAAAGTAGAACACATTTATTCAAAGCCTAAAAAAAAACTCTAAACCTTCTTAGTCTGTTCAATGATAATGAATAAAAGTCACAGCCAAGGTCTGTGAGTCTTGGCTGAAGGTCTGAAAAAAAACACAGACTGAAATATGATGACCTAAAGAATCTTCGGAGGAAGATCGAGTTTCACTCTCTCCAGATGTTGAAAAGGCTGAGACACAAAAACAGTGTGGAACTTTCATCCATCACCTCCACCACTGAAGGACACTGTGGGCCTGTGGCTGGAGGACCTTCATCAGACAGTTATGATGGGATCATTTCATCTGAAGCACAAAAATTCAGTGCAGCTGCCAGTGGGTCACATGACGGAGTCAAATAACGGTTCCTGAGGTGTGGGGCAGACGCGGCGCCAGGGGTCAGAGGGGGCTTTATGTCAACAATGATTTCAGCATTTTCTTTAATTGTGCCAGTGATGAAAATTGTACTGTTTGTAATTTTAACAATTTGAGAACCACTGGTTTACAGCATGGAACGCACAGTGTAGTTAAATGCTAAGTGGCTAATTCACTGGGTAATGGAAGTCTAATTAGGTAAGGAGTCAGTGTAGAGTAAATGTAACCCAGCTGTGTCCTGCTGCCTGGTGTCTCACAGCAGCAGAAAACCACAACAGGGACTGTAAGTTTGTAAAGACCAATTTGTTAAAAAAAGTTAAACATTTTAACATATTTAGGACAACTTTGATCTGATAAACAAAAACATTTGAAAATGTTTTTTGCAAAACTGAAAATGCTTTAAAATTGATTTTGTAAATAACTCCTTCAACATGCGATTTTAGGCACATGTGAATATTGCATTTGAACCTTTTTTATGGACTTTCTTTTTTGTTAAATGTACTTTTTTTAAAAAATAAATAACACTTGGATGAAGAAATACTGTATTCAGTGGTTCTTGTTATGCACAGACTGATGGAGAAAACAGCTGACAGAAAACTCAATTATAAAATCTGAAGTCTTTACTTAGCAAACCTTAAAATTTAATTTTCAAACCTTCGTGTCAAACATCTGCACAAGTCTGACTTTTAACCAATAGCTCATGTTCCTTTAATCTAATTTAGTTCATCTAGTTTGAGTTAACCTGGTCAACATCCTGCAGCCTGCCAACATTCTTCAGATTCTGAACTAAATCAGACTATATACAGTGCAGTGGAGATGCAGCAGCTCTGCTCACTGTCTGTCGATGAAGCCACACCTCAGTAAAACCAACACCAACAGACTGGAGCTAAAAGTCAGTTTTTACCATTCTCCCATGCAGCCACTCAGCCAGACCCTCCGCTGTGGAATCAGGAATCTGACACCGCAGATTGTCTCTTTCTTCATTGTCCATCAGCTCCAGCGCCCCCCGCAGGTCCTCAAGCAGATGAAGCACCCGAAACCCTCCCAGGATGGGTGAGGTGGGTGACTGGCAGTCGAAGAGACCGTTGGAATAGTCCATGGCCTTGGAGCCTGGAAAGACAAAAGTGAAACGTAAATGACTTTTGTTAAAAAAAAAACAAAAACAACAACAGTTGATTAATGACACATCAGTATCACAGTGTTATGACACTGAGGCATGATAATCAGAAGTGCTGGGTTCTCACAGTTAAATGGCAGCACATGAGTCAAAAGTTGAGTGTGTGTGGGTGTGGTGGGACACAATGACAGGCCAAAGCTGTAAATCTCAGCAGTGGTGCAAATAAACCTCCACTTCTTTAGGATAAACTATTTCCCACACGGAAGTAAACGCCTCCACTCTCTGCAGATGATTTTTTCATTTCTAAACAGACCGTAGACTGGTGGGGGGGGGAGGGGGGTACAAAACACATGTGCACAGAAGACAACATGCAAATGTGCACATTTATCTGCACAGTTTCCTGCACAAATAAACAGTCAGATTCATAAACCATACAAACATTTGGATCATTTTAAAGACCTGTCATTTATGACATATGCACGAGCCACCGCCACCGCCACTCAGTCAGAGGTTGAGGCCAGCATGGTTTCAACTGTTTGCATGTTAACATTACTACGCATTACTTTTGTATCTGGTTCACTTATTCTTGCACAAACTTTCTACAGTTCACATATTATCAGCAGCACTCATTTCAGACTGAGACTAAAAAATGTATTAACACATTTTTAACAAGGATTTTTAAAACCAAAGCCAACAGATGATGTGGGACTTGAGCAAAATATTAAATATATGCTTTGGTAACAACACCTGTCAAAGTACTCAATTTTGCATAACCTTCTTGCTTAAATTATATTTCTGATGATTCTTTATGCCCTCTGCTCAAATGGATGGATGGATGGATGGATGGATGGCACCACTATCACGATGACTAAAGTGCAGTATAACGACCACACTCTGGGGTCTGGATCAGAGGTGCAGTACAGACCCACCAGTCGTCTTATGGACACCTCTAACTGGTCTCGCTGATGTCATTTCCTCGATGCATTTAAAGGTTGGTGTGACGGACTTCGTAGCTGACCCAACCCTGCTCAGGACATTACACTCTCTGTGGAAACTGGTCTTGTTTCATCATCTTTCAACATCATTTGGGTTTTTAAAAAGTCACATGAGCCACTGGTTTATAGTGTGACCACAGGCTGTGGCAGGGAAATCCATCACATCAAATAATCCTGAGGGTGAAACTTCCATCAGAGCTGAGATCAGAGCTGGTAATCCACTTCACTGAACCACCGACAATAAAGGATCTACTCTGACTCTGTCACTAACTTTAATGTGCTACGGCTAAGCAATAAACATTTTCAGTGGTTTTATTTCCACACCTTCACCATCATCATCATCATCATCATCATCATCATCACAAACACAGATGTGGGCATAATAAGACCAGGCACATGATTAGAGTTTCCCGCACTGCAGAAAATTATAATTACGTTATGATAATTGAATGTTCTTATTTTTGTTCAAAACACTTCATCTTTGATTTCCTATAACTCAAGGGCTTCTTGTGATCCTGTTGTGGGTTTCACTCCCCCATCCCCCAGTCTTCATCTGTCATCTCTAATAAATGTCAGCCATAATGAAGATGCCCAGTCTTAGAAAACTGAGCAAAACAAAAGCAGAAAAAAAAATCCTGACACTTGTGGCTGTGCACAGAAGAGAAGAGACGGCAGCAGAGGAGATTAGTGAAGAGTGTGGTTTCTGTGGAAACAAAGGGGGAAACTGGAGAGATGGGGGGGGTCATGTGATCAGCCGTCTTGCTCTCATTGGAAAGGTCAGTGCTATAATTACACACATCAGCGGAAAAGTATGGACTCTGAATGTGAAGCGCGCTCTGCACATCTGCAGCTGCATGAATATACAGGATCAGGCCAAAAGCTACCAGGCAGGAGTTCGTCTTCCAAACTCACAGAGCCTGAATAATCATTAGCTTCAGTCACTGCGGGGACAAGGCAAACTTTTCTTTCTGTACGCTGGCGTAATCTAGCGAGGGCTGAGAGAGCGTGAGACCCAGCAGCACAGATTCAGCTTTGTTTCAAACTTTTTTATGTATATTTTGAAGGATTACATTAAATGTCAAGTAGGAGTGGGAGAACTGGGGCATGACTTGTTGCCGTCCACTGGATGCAATTTCCCCCAGGCTGCACGTTAATGACATCCAGATGTGGCGAGACACCATACAATGCTGTGCCCACCTGAGGAGCTGTGGGAAGGGGCTAACAATCAAACACTGTACAGCAAGTACCTGCGATGATGCCATCCATTTGCTCCAGGGCGGCTGCCAACATGTCACTGGCGTCAGTCATCATCATGCTCTGTTCAATGGAGTCTGTGAGAGAGGTAAGGAAAGAGAGATGAGAGCTGGAAGAAACAGGGACAAAAAAACAATAAATAATCCCTGAAAACGTCCAAATATAACAGAATGTCAGAGTCATTTAGGACACGGAGTTCCCAAAAAAATCTACTTTCATATAAAAACGGCTGCAGCAGCCAAGCTGTCTACAAACTGACCATAAATGTGTGTACACACAAAAATTCACATGATCGGAGGGGAAAAAAATTTGGTGACATACACAAAATCACTCAAAAAACACCGTCACACATAAACAGAGAGAATTATTCACAATCAGAACCCTTCTCTCTCCTTTTCAAATGAACCCAGTTTTTTTTTACCTCACACTGGCTTCTTGGAGGACAAAAACAAAGTCATCTCTGAGGCCCATTACCCAACAGGCCTTGTTTCCGGTGGTTTAGCAATCATCAGTGCTTATGGGCATCTGGAATAATGGCATTATTCTCCAAGGAGCCTCAAAGACCTTGAAGCATTGGCATGTTTGGCATCTCAACCCTCCACAACCAACTGTCCTGTTATGAATATCTATGAATACAAATACAGCATATGGTCATCTGAGGTGATAGGGACAGGCTCTGGGTCAACCTTAATCTGCTTCTTCTCGAGGGTCACAATGTCTAACCTCGTGGGAGGGGAGAATGTGTGGGGCATAATTAAACCTGGCCTTGAATAGATGTTAGGGGCAGTGGTCTTTGAAAACAAAGAGGTCTTTTAAAGAGGCCCTTAGCTCAAATTTCAACTAACAGGCTCTCAAACTGTTTTTTTATTTTACCAGACACAACAAAACCATAAGGTTCAAACCACTTCAACAATCAAATATCAAATACTGCTGGACTGTTTGCATAGATTGAAAACAAAGACAAACGTCATTTAAAGGAGTTGAGTCGACATAAAAAATACCTCCAGCACTAAAGTATAACAACCTGTATTCCAATAAAGTTTAACAGTTCCCACTAGAAGGGAACTGCACATCTTGCTTCTAATCCATTTGACTCTGCAGGTATTTCCGGACAACGATGGAAAGCCATCAGTCACTCTCCACAGGGTGGACACTATATTTGGTCAGCTGCTTTAAACAGAGCGAAAAAAGAAAACAAAATACAGCTGGACCCCAAGATGTGGATTTCTCAGGCATCAAAATATTTCTTTACTCCGTGTGAGGCCTTAAACCAACAACTGTTGTGAAGGGATGGGAAAGCAGCGTCTGTCTGATCCTGATCCTCCTAAATTATCCTGCACGGCTCTGTGGTCAGGGAGCATCAGAGGGATTTAGAGACAAATTTGATCATTCTGAGATGAGATGAATCTGTGCTGGTGTGTGTGTGAATTTAGCCACAGAGAGTCGTGGTAGGGTTTTACAGATAACTATTTTTTAGAGTCAACCATTGGATGAGGATTTTATTAGATGGTTAAACCTAATGGGTTACAAATTAAATACAAAATGTTTAATAATATTCATGATTTTCAGCTGCTATTGAAAAGCTCAAGGATGCTAGGGTTAGAAATGTTCCACTTGAGAAAAAAAAAAAAAAAGTTCTGACCAAAACCACAAGAGGAGAGCCCTCACACCAGGATCCGTCTGCAGAACAGTGTAACTGCATGGAGTTATCATGATGAGTGAACCACAAGGATCAACTTAGCAAAAACACACATTCCTGAGCAGGTTAGCCCCCCCCCCCAAACCAAACACCAGCCCCTGGTACCGATATCACTGCTGACCTCTGTGACCCGTGACACCCACACACCTACGCAGAGCTTTGAGATAAATTCTAGGAGGACTTCGGCTCATGCACCAGCCTTTTGGTTATCCTCTGATTGTAAACAAATAAAAGGGCAGAAAATAAACAACTAGTTCCTGCACAGCCAAAGCCTGAGTTGTATTTACTAGTCTGTGCCACAGAGCTCCATTGTTTGAAACTCATAAATAAAGCCCTACTGTTGTACTGGCTGTCATCTTCCTCTATCATCCCCCCCCACCACACACACACTAATTAAAGGAATGCAGGAAATGCCCAATAAAGGAGTAAAAATAAATTAATCTACAGGCAAACGTCATCCCTGACTTCACTATGATAACCTCCAGCATCTGTGTACGTTATGGAACCAATCTACATAACTGTATTTACTTCCACCATGGACGTTTTCTTTTCAGTGTGATGTGTTTGGCTTCTGGCAGACAGAAAATTGAAACAACACAAAGTCAGTTTCTTTAAAACAAACTTCCAGGGCGTGTCCTCGGCCAACAAAGACCAGATTATCCAATAAAAGCAGTTAAAAAACGACTTTGTCTTAATCCTGATAATACACAGATATTATCTCAAATATCTCTGACCAATAATGCAAAGATGTTATTGAAGTAAAGCTACGTGCAAAACTACAGAGGTCTCTGGACAAGTGGAGATGTCTCCATAGTCATGGAGGGAGTCAGGACTTGTGTACTTCCTTAAATCTTTAAGGACTTTGAGGCAGAGAAGAAACTACTTAATGATGTTGGTACAAAATTGGGGGACAGGCCCCCTTAGGGGGGGGGGGGGGCACAGCGTGGCAAATTAATTTAATTTTATTCAGGGTACACTGAAGTAGAAGAGTTTTGTTGCAGAAAAGAAGGAAACATAATGGGGTCCAACCCTAAACTCAACTTTGTTTAAGACTGTGTTTTAACATCAACCAGATGTGTAGGAGGATATGATATGGAAAATATATGGAGGGGGAGGGACAAGCGCATCTGGGAAGAAAATGGAGTGAGTGACTGGAGCCTGTGCTGAGTGGTCGTCTGGAAAAAAAAAAAAAAAACACACGTACAATCCTACATCACTGCTGGTGCCTTAAGCGGCCGAGTTCCAGCTGTGATGCAGATGTGCTTTGCAGATGTGAACTCGCACAAAGTAGTAACAGCAGCAGCCCCGCCATTGGTCGAGTTCAATAGGAAAGAGACGAGAAATCAATCAATTACAACACGTCAATGCATCACATCATGGCTGGAGTTAAGATGGAGCTGAAAACTGAAACAAAGAGTTGAAGTCAATATCCTGGTGTTAAATATTTTAGTACAGTTCATTTCTCTCCTGGTTATTCCCTTATTGATGTGCTAACAGCTTCCACAAGTGTAATTAATTGTAACACGAGACTCAAATTGTTGGGAGGCTATTTGTATGGCACAGTTAATTATTACCTAAAATAATTATTTTGACAACAGTGAAAGGCAATAGTTACCACACTTTTATTGCCGCCGTACACCAGGGAAATGAGTAAAGCTTGACAGCTAATACGAGTGCACAAATAAAACTGTTGCCTCTTATTTGTGTCTGTATGAGACGTCAACTTACAGAAATACTACACAGCAGGTTTTTAACTGTGGGTCACATAAAACTCTCAACCAACTAGAGTTTTGCATGTGGAAAAATGGTAATGGTAATTGTTTGTGTTTTCCATTCATAGTTTGCCAGATGCTTTATACAAAACGTAGGACTAAACTGCAGGCATTTAAAGTTTCTTAGACCTACCTTGAATTTAAATACAATCTAAACTGTTTTCAACTAAAGAAATGTATCAAAAATATACAAGATTAATGACGTAAACTGTTCTTAATGTGCAGAAATAATTGATGGTATTTAAAGAGACAACATAGATGTGAATAACTCATGGAAGTCTGGTCCATGTGAAATCCAACCTCAAGTCAAACTCCCTGCCTTTGTTTACACTTTCCCCTGAGAGGTGGACTGGCGGACCCTTACTCTGAGCGGCTGTGAGGTCAGAGTGTTTGACAGAAACAACAGCTCTGGCATTAAACAAGTGCTTTATGTCCTCACTGCAACTGCAGCAACAGTGGCCACATCCAAGACACCACACACAAACAGGTCTTTGTCTTTGGCAGACTCCCATGGCAGCTCTGCGACTCAGATTCCAAGTTGTTGCAGTTTTTCCACGTGGCTTCAACTACATCACTTCCAGAAGTCACATCAGAGGAGGGGAAATGGACAAAAAATGATGGAAAAGGGGGGCTGGAGAGACTGAGTAAGAGAGCCCGACCAGCCAAGAGTGACTGTGACTGCCTCTGCTTTTCTTATCAGTCGTTCAGCACCAAAGCAAAGCCACTTTTTCGGAGACACATTAAAGGCATTACTACAAAGATGTGCGAGATCTTCAGGAGCCACAAACTGGCCTGAAACCGAGCCATTCCCACACACAGGAAGACCTTTGCTCTGCGATGTCAGGAAACCGTTTCTGGCACGTTCAGGAAAAACGTCTTCCTTTCAGTCAGAATCTGCCTGTGTGCAGAATTCCTAGCGCTATCTGCAGAATTCCCAGCACTGCGGAGCCTCACAGAGGAAAAAAAAAACCTCTCAACTCTAGAAGCCACTCTAAAATTGGAATCACATGATGGAACAAAATCAACGACCCCTGAGCAAGACATAAATGTGTACAGTTCATACAAAAATAAGTTCCCCAAACATTTTTTTAGTCATCATTTTGCTTTGACTTAGTAGTCAGTAGTAGTTTATAAACATGTGAGTAGTCAGTAGGAAGACTAAATCAAGTATATCAGGATTTACAATTTGAGTTAACTTGAACCAGAACCTGGATATAAATAAACCTAGACACAACTTTAAAGCCACTGTCTGTCATATTTTCTCATCAAATACTGTCTTGCCAGAAAGAATTTCCTGTGCAGAGGTCATCAGCTCTGTGAGAATGACGTGGAATACAAATATGGTTATTGTCGCATAGGAAGGGAGGGGGTAAAATCCTTTGTTTTCTCTTCTCTGCTAAAAACACATCAACTGATTCTCAGAGTGCGGGGGGATTGGGGAGGTTGCTGGACGGGAGGTCATGCAGCACGCCAGGAGGGAGTTTTTCCTGGACGACTGTATTTCACAACGAAGAAAAGTCTAAAACAACAGGAGCTGCACAAGTCTGATAATAATCATGGAAGAAGCTGGCTTTGTTCAACACTGCTACTGTCTCTTCCACTGGAGCTGCTGTGGGAGCTGAACTGAGAGTTTGTCACCATGACTCATTATTCGCCTGCTACAGTAACTGACGGGAGTTATAAATTAGCTCTGGTGAAATGAAAAAGGGAGGAGAAGAATGACACTTAATACAAAACAATGCTTTGAACTCCTTAGACTGATATGACACAGTAGTAAAAAACAAACCAACGCAGTGAGAGGCATTTCAACTTTTCAGATGGTAAAACACATGACCTAGAACTGAGGTCAAATTCCAGAACTGTACAGCAGGAAAAGCCTTTACAACTGAATTTCACTTGACGGTCTGTCAAAAGACTGCATTCAAAAATTAAAATATTAAAAATTAAGACATGCCACAGCTCTTTTCAGTTCTGCCGTCATAACTTTTTGTCATGAGATCCTGAAGAAAAGTTTAAAATATTGACAGGGAACCTAAACTCTTTTTTAATGTTTGTTGTTGTAAAGATGAATTGGGCAGAGCCACAAGGGGCCATCTGCATCCATCTGCATCCATCCTAAACATCTCACTGTTCCTTTGGGTTGTCAAACAATACTGTCGCAGCTTTATTACAATAATGTCTGCAATTGTTTACTTTGTAGATCATATTGTTAAAAAAAAATAGCATGTCAAATGTTTGTAATTTTCAAATTCAATTTTCACAACATGTTACAGCCTTAGACTTTGCAAAGTGTTTTGCCCAACTATATAACACACACGCCAGTTGCTAAATGTTAGGTTTCCATTCGAACATTTGGTCAAATACAAACTGACATTTTGAGACTCCTGCATCATTCGGAAAACTTGTTACTGAAGTATGAAATAAAGCACTGTAAACTGTAAAATACATTAATTATTATTAATAATTATTAACAAATCTTCTGCATTGTTCAGCGTATATAAAGAACACAATGACCTGCGTTAAATCTCCTTGGAAAACTATTAACACAATTGAATATATTAAGTCTACAACAAGTTTCTTAAATACCCGCACACTGACGTTAAACAGACAATAAGCGATAGAAAAGTTTGGTAAAAAAGTTTGTCGAACTCACCGTTTTCAACCAAGAAATATGACCGGGGCTGATTAAAAAATACGGCCGCTTTTCTGTTAAACCAACGGGTCTGAGCTCAGTGAGGCTTCATACTTAACGTCCAGCTTCCAACTGAATTAACAGACTGTAGTTAACTTTACATGCAAACCAAACGCGCACTGAGCGACGTAAAGCTGAAGAAAATCTCGCTTCCCTTCAAGTTTCAAAATAAAGGCCGCCACTTCCTATATTTCACAATAAACAAGACTTCAACACAATTTAAATTTAGTTACATAATATTGATTTATGGACAGTATTTGAGCATTTTCACGAGTGTGTGCATTCTATTTTTTTTTATTTCAATGACGGAAAACTTCACAAAGTAAAACCCATCTCTTTTGTGACTTTTTATTTAGATTTATGAGTTGAAAGATTAATCCAAAAATAAAACCATTTCTGACTAACCTTTGTTATGATAACGTTATATTTCGGACAAATTTTAGTTACACCAAAGCGTATCACAACGTAGTGCTAAACGTTACAGTCAAGTTATAACTATAATTTCTAACAACTGCTTCAGTCTGTAACCAGCCACAGACAGAACCAAACCATCTAAGTTTCTGTAACAGCCACATGACACTGAAACCATCCGCACTTAAACAAAACCCAATGTTGCAAAAAAGATATAGGTGTAATAACAGCACTTAACTCCATGTAAAAATCAAGGCTCAAAACTCATTCACCACAACAGTGGATAAACAAGGCCAAATACACACACACTTCACGAACGCATTGATGTTACTTTTTATGTAAACTCAATTCAAACATGTATCTACAATATAAATAACATGATAACATGATATCATAATAAATAACATGACTCACACTGAAGACCAGTTTCACGACACAGCAACCGAATCATATTTAAAACGGCCTTACCTTAATGTAGTAAAACACAACACTTGACACAGACGTTGGTGGGATTTTCTTGCGAGGCCACTTTGGTTGTATCCTAAAATCCATTGTAAAGTTTGGAAAAGATGTGGTCGTCTGTTGGGATTATTTTTCTCCTCGGAGTATTTGTTTCTTGTGGTTGTTGTCGAATTGTGCGTTAGCTTCCTCTGGCTAGCAGCTAGCACGCAAAAGACGTAAACTTCAGGTTTTCGCCTCATTTTCCCAGGTGAACGGTAACTATGTTAATGCAGAAGGTAAATTCTAAGACACTCTTTACGGTGTCGAAAAAAATACCGACAAATTCCCGGTGGACAACGACACTATCTTTGAAAACATACCTGAACTTTTTTCAGCTAACGATACCTCACAAACACACCTTACGGGAACGGTGGTCTCACAGACTGAAGGTAAAGGGTACCTAAGACACGTGAGGTCCTAGGGTCACGTGACGAGGAGCTGTTTCTTCAGCCAATTGGAATAAGCAAAGCTCCCTAACGCAGGTGTCTTGGGTTACAGCCTTTCTATGTTTAATAATGTTTCCATTTTAAGCAGAGATGCGATTTGAAAACGTTGGTTCGAATTATTTAATTATAGACTAAATAAAGTCATGCATTAATATATATATATATATATATATGTGTGTGTGTGTGTGTGTGTGTGTTTAAAGTTTTCATTGTGATTCATTAATGGCAGTCTCTAATAATCTGATTAATTTTAGCTACCTTGGACTGTAAGCTTTTGTTAGCACACTACTTATCTATATGCTATATGCTATAGCTATATGCCACTACATTTGGTAAATTCACACCGTTTTCCTTATTTTTGGGCTTAGCTCCATTATTTTCTATTTCTGACAGTCAAGCTAGTCAAATCCATAAAATATTAGTTTTTACAAAAAAATACAGAATAAAAAGGCATCGCCATAAGAATTCTTGACATTTCCGCAGACCTATTTATTATTGTTTTTGGGGTTTTTTTGTTTGTTTGTTTTTTGTTTTTTTTACAACAATCTAAACATTAACCATTTAAACTCCTCTCATATCATGTAGGAATAAAAGGTGAAGGTCAGAATTCTGGATGCAACATTTGGACCAGCAGGTGGGGGTAGAGGTGCACACATGAGTTTAGTGACAAAGCTTTAAGTTTTTGTTTTTGTTTTTTTGTTTTAATCACACCTGTGATACTAAAGCAGATGTCAAAGAAGTCACATGTTGGACAGTATTGAAATAATAGCAGCACGTTGAAGAGAAATCATATCATTTTTTACTCCAGTTCTGTCCGGCTTTCCTGCTGCACATGATTTGCTTAAGTGCATCTAAAATTCAATGCAGCACACTCAGGCAGTGGCTTCACAATAACACCATTAGTGGAACATCCAATGAAAAGCAGCAAAAGCATGGACACCATGGGACACTAGAGACAAGAGCTGAAAATAAAGCTGTGCATCCTTGAGATTTGTTAAAAATTATTTTACAGATGAATGGATTTCCAAATGATGATGAGACACATACACACCAAAAAAAAACTTATGTTCACCCATTTTCATTTATGTGGTTCATGTTTTATGGATCTGCTGAAGTAGATTTATTATTATTATTGTTATTATCATCTGTCATAGCACCCCACTAGTCTACCATGGTGGAGTGGTTGGGGGTACAGTACAGTGCCATTTGGCATATGTTTTGAAATGCATTCAGTTTTAATATTTACTCTGAAACATTTCACATATGAATTATCACAATTTTCACATTTAATTTTTAGCCCCACTTCAAACATCTTGTGCTGATAAATATCCATTTAAAATCATAAAGTCTTTAGGAAAGTGTTCTTCTCTACCTGTATTCTTTTTAGCTCTGAACTTTTTCTTTTTTCAAATGTTCTTACAACAATATTTATATTCTTTCTGACAGCAGCCAGTGTGTTCAGAACACACACAAATTACTCAAATTAGAGCAACTCCTGCGAGGCACAGTCGGAGGGGAAATGTCCTTGTTCACATCACGAGAAGCCAGTCACAGCAGTAAAAGTAATTAGTGTTTTTTCCTTCTTTTTCTCATCGCCTCTTGCTCGACCTTGTATGATTTCTTGAGTGGTGCACTTAGTGCTGATGAATTATTGGAGAACACCAGCAGATGAGTGACAACTCCTGCTCCCACATTTGTTTTCACCTTGCAGCATTCCTGTAATCATACTGTAGTGATTTTAGTGACCAAAACATCTTTATTTGACCACAGGCTTGTTTTTGAATGTATTGGCAGATGGAACGAGTTTAAAGCAACTCCAAACAACAACCTGCAGCTGAATGTATGTCAACTCGTTCTGGCGGTGGCAGCGATTCCGACTGAGGTTGAGTGTTTTGTGTCGATGCACATAAATGCGGGAGCACTGAGGGTTGAAGAAAATATCCAGCAATGTAAAATACAAAAATGTAATTCATACCTCGGTGACATGCCAGCTTTAAAAGCTGCACTGACATCCATGTCACCACGGCGTAGCCACGGTGACGTGAGGTGACACAGTGGGAAGTTGTGTTTCTGAAGCTGCAGCTGTTTGGAAAACATCAACAACCACTGGGAATAGAAGCCAAATGAAATACAGAATAAAATGTTTGGTCGCTTTAAAAAAAAAAACAATATTGAGGAAGAATGTTTTCTTGGTTAGCCCCCGTGGACTACCTTAGGTGCCCACGGGGTTCAGTCTAAAAATAATCTAGTCAACAAGAGGGTCAAAAATTGTACTGTTACTGTGTTTTTGGATCAGTTGAACTTGCAATGATATTCATATGGGTGCAATGATGGTGGTAGGAAGAGTGTCGACTACTGTATGTCCCAGAACTGATCATCATTACACTGTATCAAACAAGTGGCTCTTCTTATTACTAAGTGTCCATGAAGTAGCTCTCAACTGACCCCTGGTGTCGATGCCGATGGAAGTTGGGAAGAAAGAAATAAACAAGATGGTGAAGTATGTGATACTGTAGTATGTAATGTACCTTGTGTTATTATATGACATTACTATTCTTAATAATATGACAGTGGTTGGATTTGAATCATGAATCATAATGCAGTCATACAGCAGGACATGAGTAGTCAGATCAGGAGCTAACCGGTTTTCCTCAGCTAATTAAACGTGACAGCAGATTTACATACTGTGATAAGAAATCACCAATAGTCACCACTGAGTGTAGGCTGTAACTATTCACAGACCACAATCATAAACAGAGTCACTCTCCTCACAAGTCTTTTCTGCCCTTTCAATTCCCACTTGCACTAACAAAGACCAACGCAGACCCTGTCCGTCAGCCTGACTGAAGAAAGACCTCATGACATCCCATAATTATTCCGAGAAGGATGGTAATAAGGCGGCAGAGGACCGGCGGAGAGTAATGGTCAGATGTGAAGAGGAGCGTGAAGAGGCCAAGGAGAGAGACGATAAATTGGCGGCAACGGCGATGGTGGAACGCTGGATCACTGTCATAAAAGATGGAAGGAAACAGAGAGGAAAATCAACAGTGTTGTCAGGTGTTGTGTTCCAGAGGAGGACGAACCTGAAAGTCTTCAGTGAAGTCACTCATTAGCATTTTTTAAAAGGTCTCAACCTTCCACGCTAATGAAACCAGAATTGTTTTCTTGCCAAATAATATTTTTCACCTTCACCTTCTCTCTGTTCTCACGCTGACATGAAGGTCAACATATAGTTTAGCTTAGCTTTCAACATGAGCAAAGATAAAAATGGGAAGTATTTTCCAGCAGATATTTGTGGGATGTTTTATGTTCTTATGCACCATTTGTTACAAATAACACATGGGTCATTGTTACTGCAAATATAAATAGAAAAAAAGTAGAGAATTCAAACTCCTATTATCTGACTCACAGCTTGTTTACGTCCTGAGGTATATCCACTAGTCACAATAATAACATGTTTCCAGGAACATAATAGACGACAAAGCTCAGGGTGACTCAGCATCACTCTCCCAAAAGCTATAAAAGTTTGATTTCAGTCATAAAGTGGTGACGCACGACAAAGGTACGCTTCACCCCCTTGTCACCCCTCAGATTCTACTTGGCAGCACAGCGGCTGACATTTTAATAACTCACCTGAGATGATATTGAGCTGCAGGTGTAAAAGCCTCTGCGTGGTAAAGTGTCAGAGTCAGAAAAAAGAAAAAAAATCAAAGCCCAGGTTTAAGACAGCTCTTTTAAAGCCCCAGTCAACTTTGGTCTAATCAGAGAAGCCTGATTAGAGACCAAGAGGTGACTGGGCTTCAAAAGCACAACGTGCCGTAAAAATCAAAAAGATGTGTAAAGAGAGCTACAAAAATCTGTCTAATGAGCAGGCACCCAACTGTGATTTAGAACAATATGTATCACCACAGGGAACGGGCCGTCTCAGATATGTCACAGATATGATATGAGTTTTTAAGGATGATACAAATTGACTTTTAATGACGGCTGTTTCTATTCTGACATTTTCAACCTAATAAGGACAGAGAAAGAAAAAAAATCTCTAGGACGGTGAAGACACCTGTGGCTCTGTTCACCATATATATTTAGTAGGACAACTCCATGGACGATATCAGACCTTACACTCCACTAATTAGAAAGATGTGGGTTTAACAACCGTAGATTTGGCCTTTGACTGTAGAGCAACTCGAGTCATCAATTCCAAATGAATGGACTGAATGAAGATGTTTATATTGGGGGATCTTTTCATCTTATGCAACTTTTATATTATATTATTATTATATCCTTCATTTGATGTTGTATAAATTTATGGATTGGGCAGATGCTTTTATCCAAAAAAAATCAGTCGAATCTGGGAATCAAACTTAGGACTCGCTGCTCTCTGCTTCCAAGGCAGGTGTGCTAACTGCTACACTACAGACCTGCACATGACAAGAACAGCTACATACACATGCTGAAATCTGCTCTCTAGATTAAACCCTGGGGGACTGGCACTTTTAGGGAGCAAGGGATTTGGTGCCGACTGGGATTCAAACCTACAATCTGTGGATATAACAAGCCCCAAAGGCTGAACTGGTCTGGGATTTGAACCCAAGACCTGTGTAAAGTTGCATAAAAGTTCCGTCTCTACCCTGCAGCCTCCACCCCATCATCATCACCATCATCATCATCATCATCATCACCATCACCACCATCACCACCATTATCACCATCATCATCACCTTTTTCTGAGCCTATCTCCAGATTCAGAACTCGACACTCGACTCAGACCAGGTTTATGCAGACACTCAGTAAACTGTCAGTTTACAGGGACAAAAGCATCTGCTCAGCTCATCTCATCTGGCAGCTGGAGAACAGGGAAACCTAGCAACAAGCTGCAGCGGACACACATGCAGGAACAGGGTGATTGCAGAACGCGCACACACACACACACACA